TTAAAACTAACTCAGCTTCAAGCATTTCTCTTTTCTTCTCACTGGCAAGTGGGAGATGAGAGTAATAAATATAAGCTGAATTCAATAAAATAATTGTCTAAGTAAGAAAAGAGATATATGCATAGCATAACTGAGGGAAATAGGAAGTTACTTTTCATATACAGCAAGAATATAAAACCTTGTGAGAAGAGTAATGGTACTATACTAGGTAGAGGTGCTGTAAGTATCAAGAATTAACAGAGAAAAGCATTGAACAAATATTCAGCTCTATGTCTGGGGAAAAGCCACATATATTCAATCTGTGGATAAAGTAGTTCTCATTCACAGTAGCTGATGAGAATGTTAAACAGTAACTGTTAGACATTTTACAATCAAGATTTCAGCTTAAGTTGCATCTAGAATTTTTTACAGAGCTGGTCTGTGAGTGCTGTGGAACATTAATATTGATTTTTTAATAAATCCTTTAAATCTGGGAGATTTCCAAAATACAGCAAGAAGCTAAGTTTATGCCAGTATTTTAAAAGCTAAGTGGCATAACATGAATAATTATAAGCCTGACATCAATCAGCGGAGAATATTGCATGGCTTACAGGGGCTGACTAATAATTATTGTTTGTAAGTATTAATTATCTTTATTATTACTCATCATTCACCCCCATGTTAGCTAATAAATGGGTCAGTGAAATTAAAGTTGATCTGTGTGTTTATTGTTTCAATCAAACAGAATATAACTTTTTAAGTACTATTAGGTTGGCAGATGTAATGATCAGAAAGTAAGAAACTCTTTAAGAACATTTTTCTTGGCTTCGTATTTCAGCCCGGTTACATCATCTGAATTATGCAAAATCAAGGTTAGATTTGTTACCATCTCTATGTACCAGCAGTTAATCAGACTAACTATAGTCATGCCTCATGTGTGAATATTGAAGCCAAATAAATTCAGATTAGAAATAAGGTACATATGTTTCTGAGGAACAAGGTCATGGAAAAAATTCTCCATCCTGGATGTTTTTAAAGGAAAATCTAGTGTAACTAGTTTGGGCAGTAAATGTGGAAAGTGAGGAGGAGCAGCAGAGGCAGAGTTGAGGAGTTAGTTGCTCCTCCCTGCCAGTCTGCATGCATGAGCAGCACTTATTCTTTCATCTCTTTCCCCATTGTCTTCTCACATTATTCCCCTGATTCTGCAATTAAAGGCATTCTGAAGAGGCACACATGCTGCAGCTCTGGAGCAGCAGCAGGTGCTGAGCTTGGCAGCGAGCACCAGTCTGCCCAAATTTTTTTAAAGGTGAGAAACCATCATCACAAGGGGTCTTATAGATTCTCAGAGGTGTTTTTAGGTACTTTTGAGCTGTTCTTCAAAAGACAGGTGTTCTGTCCATCCTACCAAACCTAGACAAGGTGGTCCAGTTCTGGAAGAAACAGGGAACTAGGTCTGTGTTTTGGGCCAAGCCCCAAGAGCCATCACCTTCCCGTGCTCTCCTTCCCCCTCCCCTCCCACCAAATCCATGCCAGAGGGACAAGGTGTGGCTGCCCAGCTCTCCCTTGGGAATGCAGGGTGTCCCCACACTATCCCAGAAGTCTTCCCTTCCCAAACAGCTGCTCCCCATCCCCTGCTGGGGAAAAGCCGTAAATCTGGTGGAAGCATCCTGTGGGTTGGGTCTGGCCCACAGGTCATGATGCTGGGACAGGATAAGGCAAGTGATATCAAATATTTTCTGTGTCAGGATGAGGTCAAAAGGATATAATATTTAACATTTTACTATTCTTTAGAATAGTAACATCTTCAGTGTAGTACAATAAAATCAAGTCCTATGATTTTTTTTTTTTGTACAGAAAAGATTCCTGTAGCCTTTGGTAATTTTTTGGTGCAGTAAATGTGGAAACTGAAGAGGAACAGAGGCATTGTTAGGATTATTGTTAGGCTTCTAGCACAAACCAAGACAAAAATGAATAAAAAGCAGATAATAATATATTTTATATTGGCACATTGACACACTTTATATTAGCTCACATTGTTTAGGAAAAGCTATAGGTCAACTGGAGTGAATTTTTAATAGTTTTAATAGTTAATTTTTAATTTTTAATAGATTAAAACAACAGAAGCATTGGAGAGTTGAAGAGAAATATGAGAAAAAATTTAAAAATATGTTTAGGCAGCAGCTGAGTGTAGTAAATAGAAGAATGTCAGATTTGTAAAGCTGAGGAAATAGATGAAATTATTTTCAAAAGTAGCATATACTTATTCAAGAAAAATTTGGGCCAGGTTGCTCATACAAGGAAAATTGTGTCACCCTGATAAATCAGTACTCCAGCTGACACTGAACTAAGCAGAGCTCTGTGTGAACATGCTGTGAACAGTTCTCTGCTTATAAGGCAGAGGTGACCTAGAATCCACTCTCAGTCCTGAGTGGGAATGAGAACCGACTTGTAACAGCCTTTAGGGGAGCACTCTAGATACTGCAGTTGGAACAGGAATATTCTGTGCTATAAATGAGAGAACTTAAGCTACAATTAGTGTCACTGAATTTTACAACATATTGCTGGTATGAGGAATGGACTACAAGTTTTTAAATCCAAAAGGAGGCCTATGATTTCATACAAGATTCTATTTCTTGTAGTGACCTTACTAAATCTTGCTAGGTTTGACCATGGGAAAAATCTAATATTCCTGTGACTCTTCAGTTAACATGCACCGCAGTCCTGCAACTTCATTTTTCATTGCACAAGGGTCTGCTTTATGTCTTTATTACCTGTGTCACTGGGTATGATCTGATTGGAAGGAATGTCTCAGATTGGTGAATAATAGCATCCTGTCACCCAGGGTCACACAATCATGTTTATCTGTGTCTTAGTCACCACCATACTAGACAGCTTGCCCCTGCTACTCCAGTAATGAACACTGGCCTATGCTGTCAGGTCTTTGAGGACTTGGAGACAGTTGCAAGAAATTTGTACGTATAGTTTTGTCCTACCTATCTTGTTTTTCTTCTTTATAACATGGAATCTTGATTTTGTGGTGGTTTAGGAATGGTATTCTCCAATTTAATTCTCCAATTTAGTACTCCCACTAAAACCATGCACTCCTCCACACACTCCACCTCCTTGCTCCAAGTGGAGGCACAAAAGGTAAAGATCATGGTTTGAGATGAGAAAAATTCACTGAAAATGGCAATGAGCTAAGAAAATGAGCAGTTGACAGCAATAATATTAATAACAAAAGGTGTAAGAAAATAAATGATTCACACAGAAAAATTCTCTGACAACAGACAATATTGGATGGCTCTCTCTGCACGTTTTGTCGACCAGAAGGAACATCTTTGTGCCAGAAGAGAATTTCTTTCCTCAGCCCTGGCAATGACATGAGGTGATACAGAGTAACCTCTGTGCCCTGGCCATGCCTCCTCCTGGCTACTGCAAAAATTAACTCTTTCCTGGCTGGAACCAGGACAAACCTACACCTCTGTTTAATGCACTGGTTTCAAAATGTACTGCTTTCATGAGAAATAGAACTCTTGAAAATTTGGGAAGGTGTATCCACTTTTTTCAGAAGGAATAGTGTCATGCTTTTCTTCCACCTTGCATTAGAATCAGCTTTGTCAATAATAGGAGTAAAAGCCCCAATGAAAGTTTAAGTTTCTTCCAGACTGCCTCAGTTCTTTCCACGCAGGATAAGTTGTCACTGTCATAGAGAAGCTAATAGTATTCAGAATATTTTTCATTCATTCATTAACCTGGTACTTTTTTATGACACTATTATTATTATTATTATTATTATTTTAGTAATTACAAAATATGACCATGCAAATATCCCAAATTATCAGCCAAAAACTGCAGAAAACCAGAGGTGGAGACAGGTGATGGTAAAGCACCTGGGAGTATTGTGAAGGAGAGACAGGCTAATGGGTAGAAGGAATAGGCCGCTTTTGGAATAACTGAGTTTTATTGTACCAGTGGCTTCAAGAAGCCTTAGTAAAACTTACATTTATGTCAGTTGCCCATGGGTATAGCCTGATTTCTGACCTTGCATTTTCTCAACTAACGCTCAGGTTATATATGTGAACAAAGTCATTGTCTGTATTCTTTTTTCTTCTTTTTTTTTTCCTCTGTCTTCCTGAGAAGTCCAATTGAAGTGAAAGTTTGGGAGGGGTTTACCCAAGTCACAAAGCACAGTGCCTTGCAAGTAGGCTCTAAATCACTTCAAGCTCCCTGAACAGGGTTGGTTCTCCTAGAGACGTGTTGAATCTGAAATAAAAACTTAATAAAATCCAGTCAAGAGAATATAGGAACCTTTTTTCACTGCACAAAAAAGGTATTGCTTGATCCCCAAGAGCACTAAAGGAGCTATAGGAAACACAGGAATTCTGTTGTTGTATTTAGATTTCCCAGTTAAATGCTTCTGCAGTGCTGAGAGCAGTGTTACACTTGTGTTACCTGTCTTTACAGAGGCACTAAGCTCCACAGGTACAAACAAAATGCTTCTCACCGTGCAAGTTGGTCACCATAGGATGTGGTGTAGGATCCTGACCTGATGACCTCTTTAGAACCAGAACAAACTGAAATTAATTGCATCAAACATTGAATTTCAGGGCTAATTCTGACTATGGGTTTCAGAGATCAGAATAGTGCAAGTATTGAATAATATCAGGCCTGCAGGTTCATCAGTACAGAATCAATAACCAAAATACTCCCCACAAAAATTTTCTCTCCCCTTCTATCATCTTAAAATGAAGGAGTTTAGCTATAGCAGATTGCAGAGCATGAGGCACCTTGTGCATGAAAAATGACACAATTATGAATGTTTGGATTATGTTGATATGATTGACTGATCATCCTTAAGTACTTTATAACATAACCATTCCACAAATTAGTCTGATGTAATGTATCCCTATCAACAAGTAATTTCCTATATGTTTGTTTGCAGTGTTCTTTAGCAGCTGCATGAAGTTTGCTAATGAGCTGTGGTGAGTCAATCATCATTCCCCTCACTCTTTATTTCATAGGTTGGTGAGACCAGATGCAAAAAAGTTTGCACTTCGAAATCTGATCTGAGATCCAACGATTTCAGCATTGTTGGAAGCTTGCCAAGGGATTTTGAATTATCAAATTATGACTGTTATGGGAAGCCCATTGAAGTCAACAATGGGCTCGGGAAATCTCAAGCCAAGAACAACAAGAAGCCTCCTCCTCCCAAGCCTGTCATTCCATCAGCAGCAAAGAGAATCGATCTTTATGCAAGAGCACTGTTTCCTTTTTGCTTCTTGTTCTTCAACGTCATATACTGGTCCATATATTTATGATAAATCTTTTATTTTTTTTCATATGTGTAAAATATAGCCCATTTCATTATCCCTTCCCAGTCATGAAGGCCACTGTGTGAAATTATTTGCATTTGCAAAGCAATATGTTGCATCTTGATGCCGTGCGATTGTACTGAACATATGGCATCTGAAATTTGAATGAAAGCATGACACTGCAATGTCTGTGCTCTGACCAACTTTGTATATAAATGTACAGCATACATCCTGCTTTAGGAATATATATGAAGGACGATGCCTACTACATTATAAAGCTGAATAATGCTCTTCAGTTATTAGTAACATACAGAAATTTAAAGTGTTTCTGACAATGAAACTGATGTGCACGTTGAGTATTATTAAAATCAGTATTCTAGTATATGTAGTATTTAACAGCTTTTCTGCTGACTTCCAGAGGAAAAAGAAACACCCACCAAACATCTTGTTCTTGTATAATTTCAGCTGGCACTGTTGAAGAAAAAGCTAAGGTGTAATTATTATTATTTAGACTTTGTAAATGAAGGTAGCATCAAGTAAGCAGATCTTGTCTATGTGGAAAAATGAAGATCAGAGAACTACTAATTTTGTAGAATCAGCTCATTTAGGAAACAAACCCCAACAACTGTGTCCATGAAGCAGGCACAGTTAAATGTGTTAGAATATGCTAGCAATAAAACATTGGGGAAAATTTTAACTGCTGTTTCTTTAGCTACCAACTAGTACATAAAAAACAAATGGGCCACTTTCTAGACTAAAGATATCAAGAGTTTTGGAGAGGCATCACAAGATGCGGCTCCGTATCAGTTTTGTTCTACATTTTTACATTAGTTTGTCCTCTGGCTCAGCTTCTGTAGCACCTGGCAAGCCTGCAGTATGTAAGTCACAATTTCTTTGTTGTTGCATTGGACACTTCTTACTTGATTTGTTTTGTTTATCCCCTTGAAAGCTTTCATTTTTAACAAACCAGTTGTCAAGACAAAATCCCATTTTCACCAATAATTATACCTTTTCTGTTTGTGTGCTAGCTAGCACACAGCCACCAGTAGGTGTGAAAACATGTCCTAAGGTCTAAGAGGCTGAGACTCTCGGGCCCTGGTGTGCCTATGTATTAATTAATGGCTGCCCTCACCAACTCATTGATCTGGCTGCTATGTTTTGGAGAATAAGGTCCTATGCACTAAATAGTTCTGATAGGAGCCTGCTTTCCATTTCCCAGAGGAAAATGCATGGAGACTACCTTAACATGGGCTCCTTGGTGTGCATAGGGCAGGAGCTGTGGTCTCCTGTGGATGCCAGGGTACATCCCTTCATAAGGGTGAGTCATGAGAAGAAATGTGGCCAAAAGAAAGCTGCATGTAGGTAGGTATGTGAGTAGTGTGTTTCCTGAGAGCAGGGATTTGACCTCAGCCCATGAGAGCATGCCATACACATCTCTGCTGGTAGAGATGGGGCACCAGAGATAGTTAAAACATGAAAATAAGCCACCTCTCACTAACTTTGAAATTGATTAAAGGAAATCTGGACTGTTGGCTTCTCATAGGCTAGGAAGGGACTGGTTTAAATACATGTAACCTTCCACAGTGTGGAAACAAACAATCCTGCTTGTTGTGCTACACTTCTGGCATGTCCAGGATGTGTTGAGCTGATGCAGACCACAAGTGGACTGTTGGATCACTTGGGACTTGCCCACAACGAGAATGTTGTCCATCTACAACGATCCTGTGCAACCAAAAGGTCAAAAGTGGGAATGTAAGAAGAGGAATGGCATTCCACACTGGCTTCACTGGACATCTGGGGAACCTGCATGCCCAGAGCTTTTACAAACCACTGCCACTTTGTGATCAACAGGCTGGCTGCAGCAACTCACATTTGGGTGGAAGAGATCTGCTCTTCACAGTATGGTCACATGAGCTCCACCAGCTTCCTGGCCACTGTCTGATGGAGGTTTCAGGCAGCCACTCTACCAAGTGGCTACAGTTTGTCTTTTGGATTTCTTTCTGATCCAAAGTGGAAGGTGAATCCCAGATGTTATTGAGCTGTGTTGAACGGGGGCTGAGGGAAATTATATCTTTAAGGTCTAGTTCAAACTTTTAATATTTCTGTTAGTTGAAGGTAATTGCAGAATTGTCAGAGACTCTAAGAAGCAATAAGGATAAAAGAAAGAGAGAAAGGATGGGAGGGGGAACTTTTATACATACAGAATGGTATATTTATAGACATTATTTATTCTCATACTTGTATTTTTTCTTACAGTACTGGAAGGCAAAAAAATAATTACCTTGTGTTGGAAATTATATGAATTTTGGAAGATAATTTTCTTGTTATAACTGTTATTAAATGATTTATCTGTAATTAATGTCCACATGCTATCTGTAAAATCTCAATTATAGATTTTATTGTTAAATTAATCTTTGTTCCTTCTTGCTTTCCTGCTTACTTGATGGCTTTTGTGTTTTATCATAAAACACTTAATCAATAATACACTGTAATTGCTTTCCAACTCACACAAAGGGAAGCAAGAGGAATGCATATTGTTCAGATAAAGGTTTTTTTGTTCATTACAGCACAAAAACTAAGGCCAGAAGCAAAGTTTAACATCAAATTTGAAACTTAATTTAAAATGAAACCAAGCATCAGCTATAAAGTATTAATTTTCTTTTTACTTACACTAGATAATATTGCAGTGTTGGTATTACCTTGGAATATATTCGCTTGTCCTACTGAGCAGTAATAATTGATTTCTTTTATTTTTCTTCTTTCTACTAAAGGTCATCAAGAGTTTTGCATACTATCTCACACTATGGTCCACCAGCACCCTCTAGTTGTAAAATTCAGCCTGTGGACTGATTTCCAGAATAATGTGCAAATACAAAACTGTATACAAAATAGGATCCTAATTGCTAATTATAACATGAAAGAAAAAAATATTATTAAATTAAAAATATATGGGCACAAAATCAATATACAGCTCTAGAAGTTTTCCATGCAGTTAAAATTTAGAAGTATAGAAATGAAGGCATTCAAGTAGTTGCAAATATGAGGTTCATGAAGTGCAGCTTAGTAACTCAATTAACTAGCCATGATGTCTAAACAAACCACATGACAGCAAAATCTGGTTTTGTGGGAGAGCCCATCTGTGTTTCAGCTGACATTTACTTCAAGTTCTGCTCTTAACTGCTAGGAGAGTTACAAATTTTTGTTCTACCCTTAAGATAAACCTTGGTATTTTCTTAGTTCTTAAGTATTGAGGGGTAGTATTCAAGTAGCTAATTCTGTTCTTTTATAGTATCATCACCCTTTAGATATATTTCTGCAATTTTTCAGGATTTTAGAACACATTGAAACACTGTGTTAGGAATTTCCATGGAGATTATTTAATTCATTTCTCAACTGCATCTAAAAATTTAAGGTAGGCAATAAGTGAGGATGTAATTTGAAAAGCTTATCGGCTGCTATGCATTGATTCCCTGTAGTACACAGCTCATGTTTGATACCCAGTTTTAAGAGCAGCTCTTCAGTGTGCAATGGCACCTCCTCTTTTCTCCACTTAATTCTAGCTGAGATGATGTATGTGAGCAGTTGGTCTTTTGAGGAAAGGAGTTTATTTTTGTATGTGTATGTTATGCAGTGTACAGAAGATTGACCACTTGGAAACACTGCCAAGCAGCTTTCATTCTTCAGAGTCTTCAGATTAATTTGGACTTGTTAACAGGGTAAAGGAAGATGTCTTTGGTGCCCTATTACCCATTAAAGAGAAAGCAGCAGCACTGCCTTCTGGGTTTGTGTCACTGGGCATGACCACAGTGATTGACCTGTCTGTATAATCTTTTAAAGGAAATTCACTTACAAGTAATCTTTATTTAAAAATATTTTTCTCTGAAGAGAGACAATACCTTACTTAAGCAGTCTGTTATAGCTGTTAAGGGAATCTCTTAAGAGATATTACAATACAGTTATAGTACAGACCATGGTCTCTGCTTCAATTAAAGCAGCTTATCCTTATAGTTACTGGGGGATTGTGATGGGGGTGTTTATAGAATAGGTAACATTGAATTATTTATTTCCAATGGAGTGCAACCTGAATATATGCAATGCCAAGTGATTTTTCAGGCTATTGAGATATCGTTGTGCTGCAGTGAGTACAAATGAGGTGCGTAGCAAATACGGGAATGAGAGGACACTGTTACTTGACTCTTTCGTGTACTAATTCCAGGATTACAGAAGATAATGTGGAAAGAAATTCAGATACAGATAAATCAAATAATAGTCATTTTTTGTGTCAACTGTTTAATATGTGTCTAGGCATTTGCTTTGTATATAAATGAGTTACATTCCTTTTATATTACTATAAGGAATTAATAAAAAAACAGGAAAATTAAGCTCATCTGTGGTGCCCAAAAGATAAGGAAACTAATTCTTTTCATATGAAGCTCTACACCTAAGTAAACAGTGGAATATAAAGAAAAATTTGAGGACATAAATTCCTCATCATTGTGGTTTTGTCTGTGCCATTGTATCAAATCACTCACAAGCAATCTGGGCTGCTTGCAGCACTCCCTTGCATTTTGCCTTACTCAAGAAAGTTGCCCTCCCCCTGCACCTGTCGTCCTTCCATCAGTGGGTATGGTTTCAGCAAACATTTAAAATAAAGATTACCTGGCTATTTTGAAATCCTTCTGAAAGCTCTTCATTGCTATGAGTATGTCTATGCTGCAGTCACTAAAATGTCTGCAGCTAGTGCAGGCTTATCCACATTACCCTTAAACTGGCTGTTTTGGGGAGGGCTGGAAGCATCACCATGGTGACACTGAGCTGTGGCTGGGAGACCTACCTTCTGGCTGGGGCATGAAGAAATATCCTTGGAGCTCACCCCCACAAAGCTTTGTGCTGCCTTGGCTGTTGTGCTCAAGCAGTTGGTTTAAAGTTAGCTTGTGTGGGTGTTGTCAGCCCGTGCCTGTGAACTGTAGGTGTGTGCTGGGTGACGCACTGTGTGCTAGCACAGAGAGATCCTTCCTACGGATGATGGGAAAGATGGCACCATAAAATATTTCTCTCCACAGCTCTTGATCACCTACAGGATTTCTGACATTTTTAATTTTGTGCACTGACAGGAGCATTCAGTTGGCAGTGACAAAAAAATGCCAGTTTGCTTTTTTCCTGAACCAATACACGTGTAAATGAATGAGTTGGATTCACCCACCTGAGCATGAACGAGGTTTCCTCCTGAGTCTATCCCTCTTATGAGCCATTCTGTCTAAAGTCCCTGCCTTTAACAGTGGATATTAGATCACAATCTTTTGAATGAATAATGAAACTAAAAAAACCAGTGAGACTAGCAAGAACAAGACTGTAAGCATCTTTTTGGCTTCCTGATAGTCCGTGCAGGTCAACCCTAATTTTGAGGGGCACTGATTACTGTTTAGCATGGGATTTCTCAATCTGTCAGTGCCTGTCAGGTTCTGAGACCAGCATCCACTGATTCCCTCCTAGCAGGGGAGGTATTTGAAGGACCTTCAAGTTTGTTAGTCAACTCATCTTTTGAGTATTGAGATAAATCCAAAGCTGCCTGGCACCATTA